GTGAGTGGTTGACTCCACAATTCATGCTAGAATTTTTCCAGTCTCATTAGTTTACCTTTTTGACTTGTTGATTCTTCTGTTGGAAAAACTCTAGAGTGTATAATTTAAGAACAATGTACGGAACCTCTTTATTGCGTGATTTACTGCTTAATGTTCCTCTGAGTCTTGCATTTTCCTGTGAACTTTTTGGCCTGTATTCCTTTTATACTACTCCAGGGAAAGCAAGATGTTGGTTGGTAACAAAAAGGTTTAGCGTATCTAGTACACTGAACTTTGATGCCAATTGGACACCGCTACCTGTGCCGGACAAACATGAATATTGAAAATTTGGTCTGAAACTCACTGCAAATTTAGTAAAAGTGAACTGAATATCCAACTGTAAAAAGAAATCCCCAATTGATATTTGTTATCTGTGTACCTAGCAACTATGTTTTTGTCTAAAATGATTCTTAATTCTTCTTCTACTAAAGTCATCTCATCTCATGTTGGATCCAATCTTTCAGGTCATGGGAGACCTTTCTGGCTGTTCTGGTCATCTATATTGCTTGGGTGTCTCCTTTTGAATTCGGTTTTCTAGATAAACCATCATGGCCTCTGACTATCACTGATAACATTGTGAATGGTTTCTTTGGAATTGACATAGTTCTCACTTTCTTTGTGGCGTACATGGATAAAACCACATACCTTCTTGTTGATAACCCAAGACAAATTGCATGGAGGTATACAAGAACTTGGTTCATATTTGATGTCATTTCCACAATCCCTTCAGAATTTGCTTATAAGATTTCACCAAGTCATTTTAGCCTATATGGCTTATTCAGTATGCTTCGCCTCTGGCGTCTCCGTAGAGTTAGTGCACTATTTGCCAGGTAAGTCCTTTAACTACTAGAAATGACTTATTGCATTTGTTGTCAATAAAGCATGGAAAATAATAGGCAGCCCTGCTTTCTTTCCTATAGGTTGGAGAAAGATAAGAATTTCAATTATTTTTGGGTTCGGTGTGCAAAACTTATTTGTGTAAGTGTGCACTGCAAATTCTGTTGTTTTCTGGGAAGTGGGAGTTGGGCAAGGGACAGTTGATGAAACTATGGTATTTATTGTGTTCAATGTAGGTTACTCTTTTTGCGGTTCATTCTGCTGGATGCTTCTATTATCTCATTGCTGGTAATTATCATGACCCTAAATACACTTGGATTGGGGTATCAATGGGGGACGATTTCCATAAGAGAAGCATATGGGCCCGCTACATTACTTCAATCTATTGGTCAATCACAACTCTCACAACGACTGGTTATGGTGACCTGCATGCTGAGAATACTGAGGAGATGATATTTACCGTGTTCTACATGCTCTTTAACTTGGGTCTGACAGCATACTTAATAGGAAATATGACGAATTTAGTAGTCCATCGTACAAGCAAGACAAGACAATTTGTGAGTGCTTCTATCTTATTGAAACAAAACATTTATTTGAGGCTTCTAGACTTCTTGTAAGGTCTGCAGTGAAGTAAAATTTGATTTTACATGAATTAACAGAGAGATGCAATTCAAGCTGCCTCAAGTTTTGCACATAGAAATCAGTTGCCTACTCGCCTCCAAGATCAGATGCTTGCTCACTTGTGCTTGAAATTTAGAACAGACTCAGAGGGGCTGCAGCAGCAAGAGACTCTTGATTCCCTTCCCAAAGCCATCCGGTCAAGCATATCACACTTTCTGTTTTACTCCTTGCTTGATAATGTCTATCTTTTCCGGGGAGTATCAAATGATTTACTCTTCCAACTAGTAAGTTTAGTAACATATAATACAATGATTTCTTTACTTTTCGATAAAATTTTAATAATGTATACTCTGTTGTGTAATTTAAGGTCTCAGACATGAAAGCGGAGTACTTCCCCCCCAAAGAGGATGTAATTCTGCAGAATGAAGCACCAACAGACTTCTATATTCTTGTGACAGGAGCTGTGGTAATTGTTGTCTCTATCAATAATTTGAATAGAAAACATTAAGTTCATATGCAGTACATTTAATTCCTTTGCATTTGAGGTCTAATATACTTTAATGATGAAATTTCTTGACAGGACCTACTTGTTTACAGAAATGGAGTTGAACAGGCAAGTGGGTTGTGTTCATGGAAGTTCTCCTTAGATTACACATATTAATCCATATAGTTTTGTCTTCATCCTTTCTTTGCTTTGTATGATTCATAACTTTGTCTGAAATTGTTATGACGTTGCAGGTTGTTGGGGAGGCAAAGACTGGCGATCCTTGTGGTGAGATTGGGGTTCTTTGTTATAGACCTCAGCTATTCACAGTACGCACTAAAAGATTGAGTCAGCTTCTACGAATGAATCGTACTGCATTTCTAAATATTGTTCAGGCTAATGTTGGAGATGGAACCATAATTATGAATAACCTCCTCCAGGTCTGGATTTGCAATCCACTTCTTTACTTTCTAAAATTGTAATTTTTAGTTTTGCAGACAATATTTATTAGTTGTTTTGTTAGCAGCATTTGAAGGATGCAAGGGATCCAATTATGGAGGGAGTCCTCTTAGAGACAGAGAACATGTTAGCACGTGGTAGAATGGACCTACCTCTCACCCTTTGCTTTGCAGCGCTTAGAGGAGATGAATTATTGTTGCACCATTTGTTGAAACGGGGCCTTGACCCAAATGAATCTGACAACAATGGGAGAACAGCTCTTGTATGTGAACTCCACTGCTCAATTTTTTTAACCTGTGTGGCTGAGTGCCACATTTTAATCAATTTCTTTTGCTTTTCCATTTTCCACCCTTCAGCATATAGCAGCATCTAAAGGATATGAGAATTGTGTACTTCTTCTGCTGGACTTTGGGGCCGATCCCAACATCAGAGGTATATAATATTTTGATACAAATCCAGTAGCCAAACTTAGAAGATACATGGTTTAAAATTTCATTTGGTTCCGTATGATTTTTCTAGACTATGGTCAGTAAATTTTACTAACTTGTGAAGGACAGTCATATTCCACATTTACTGATCATCATCATTAAATAATATGCTATTATTTCTTCTTTGTTCATCATTTTTCTGCATAAGTGCATATCAGTCACTGCACCCTTTCAGAATCCTTTCACTTGATATATTCTTTTATCCTCCTTTTTTCAAAATAAATATGCTCATTCATGCATTATTAAAGCTATTATTTATATTTAACAGAAATTTGTTTCCCATTGTTCCTTTAACATAGAATCTCTACTGATAGGTGCTTTGACATGTTGGGTGTAAGAAGTAGCCTTCTAGGAACATGATTAGATTTTTCATATCTGTATCATCAGAATTTAAAACCTTGGGTCAGATTCAACATAATAGAGCATATCATAGTACAGGGTAATATGAAGCTGTCTCGCTTTGAAATTGGAATAACATGTAGTTAGAGTTTCTCAAATTGCTATATTGCCATTATCCATATCTACTGACTTTTCTATACTTATCCAAAGCAAGTAATTGTCAAGTACTATTAACTTAATAGTATTTTCTCATTTTGTTTTTCTTTTAACATATACAGATACAGAAGGGAAAGTACCATTATGGGAGGCCATCTTGGGAAAGCATGAATCAGTCATTAGGCTATTGGTAGACAATGGTGCTGAATTACAATGTGGTGAAATTGGCCAATTTGTGTGCATTGCAGCAGAGGAAAACAACATGGACCTACTCAAAGAAATTGTACGATGGGGAGGGGATGTAACATGTCCAGGAAGCAATGGATCCACAGCGCTCCATTTTGCAGTGTGTGAGGGCAACCTGGAGATGGTGGAGTACCTACTCGAACAGGGGGCTGATATCGACACACCAGAAGAAAATGGGTGGACCCCGAGGAGCCTGGCTGAACAGCAAGGACACGAGGACATAAAACAACTGTTTGAATCCAAGAAAGAGAACACAAACCAATCTGTTAACGTTACAGTACCCGAAGAAAGGAATAGAGTTCGGTTTCTAGGGAGGTTCAAGAGTGAGCCAACCATCCCCCATGCTACATTTCCAGCAACTGATGGGTCGTGGAGTCGTTCATCACGCCACCAAAGGCGGAGGACTAACACCTTTCACAACTCATTGTTTGGTATTATGTCAGCCGCCAAGAATGGGGGCGATGGCTTGATGTTTCCCACGAACGCAGCTGCAAAATCTGCAAGTGCCAAGACTTACGTTGCTAGAGTAACCGTGAGTTGTCCTGAGAAAGATGATGTTGCTGGGAAGATCATATTGCTTCCTAAAAGCTTCCAAGAGCTACTTCAAATTGGTGTTAAGAAATATGGATTATTGGCAGCAAAAGTTGTGAGCAAAGAGGGAGCTGAGATTGATAGTATAGAGTTGATCAGAGATAATGATCACTTAGTTTTTATAAGTGACGATGGTAAGGCCAACGAAACTATACACCAAAATGGGGGTAATTAGATGAGATAAAATGTAATTCAGAAAGATACTATTATACACTTCTTTTACAATCTGTTACGAGGAGAGCTTTTAGTAGTTTTTCCCTCCTCTTGCATCAATGCTGTTGTTACAGAATATATATACACACACATATGAGGCTTTGTACAGAATAGTGGAATACCCGAGTGAAATCAATACATTCAAGCTTTCTTTCCATCTTTTGCTTTTTTTTTTTTTTTTTTTTTTCTCATTGCTATGAAATTGGCTCTACTGTCTAGAGGTCCTATTCCATTTGTTAACGACCCCTATTAGACGGAGGCTATGGCATGTAGAGAGGTAGTATCCTGACTTAATTTCGTAATCTAAACAAAATTTGTCTTTAATCTGACTGCAATAGCGTCGTAACTACTATTTCCAAAAGGAACATTGATCTCTCTTATCCTGACCCCGTTTGGTGTTTAACAACCTATATTTCGAGTTCTATAAACCATAAAAACATTTCTGTGATGTTTTTATGTGAAATCATGGAACACACTAGAGTTATTATACAACCAAATTTGAGTTTAGTGTGAATCATATCATAGTAAAACCTAAAACCAGAAATGTGAAATTACTTTCTTTATAAATCCAAAATATGTGAGTATTGTTCATAGTCATTCACCAGAATCAGCTCTCTTGCTGAGCAACTAAAGGTACACCAAAAGTCAAGATCAAGAAAATATAAAGGCAGGTTAAATCAACTTAACCGTATACTTTTGAAGCTCGAGACATTATATTGATTATAAACAAGCGTTTAAAGATTCAAATTTCTCATCCTATAAGAGTTTGAGCATTTTAAGACGTTCTTCGTGTTCTTTGTCCAGTTTTGGTGGGGTATAGCAGCCATGAAGATCTTCCACTATATATTCCTGTAACATTCAAGGAGAGGAAAATAAGAATTGGTCAGTTACACTACAAAAATAAAAACAAGCAGAATATAGGAAACAAAACCAAACTTCGATACAAGGTCGGTCTACAACCCGTAGCATGAATATCAAACCAAATATAAACCGTTTGTTTAACAAATAGGGCAAGTTGTAAGTAAGGTTTAGTTAAAGAATCGAACCTGTGTAAGTTCTCTCTTTGTGAGGATGTGGTAGTGTCTCTGCCAGATCCTTTGGAGGGCCATGGTAGCAGCAAGGAAACCATATGCAATGCCCAGAATAGCAAAGATAACTACGAAAATAATAACCAGTGCAAAGCACGCTTCCATTGATGCAGGAAAGCAATCCAAGATACCCCAGCCGTAACAGCAGTTCTGACAACCAGCCATGTGTGGGTCATTGCTATTAAGCGAGGAGCAATGTAGTATGAGCCCAAAAAATCCGAGCAGCACAAAGAACGCAAGCACTCCTGTTTCATGTAGATCGACAAAGTTAACACCCTACTCAAGTAATGTGAGAAAACCCATAGACAATGCAAATTCTACGACTTGGGAGACTAAAACCTTGGAAAACTCCAGTTTCCATGAGACACTTGGAAAAGGTAAAATTTACTCCATGTGCGATTTTAAAGCATTATATTGAGGACACTTCTACAACGAGCTAACACTCGCAATTCTTTATCCAGAAAACTAGATTATTAGACTATTAGAGTATCACAATGCTTACCTATAGAGTAACAAAAGAGAATAGGATGTTGGACAACATAAGCCTCACTACTACATTTCTTTATCTAGAATCCAGAAAATTAGATTATTAGTCTCAAAATGCGTACCTATACAGTAATAGAAGGGAATAGGATGTTTGGACAATATGCGGTCCCAACTGTCATTGAATGAATTCCTAAATGTTCCATCTTTATCCATAAGGAATGCCAAGCCGCCCATCACTGCAATCACCTGTGGAGAAAAGCACACAACAATAAGAATTAAAGGAAGTTCAGAAGTGGATCTAGTTCACTCCCAATCCTACCACCGTTATTTTCATGACAAAACAGTCCAACATTAGTGTCAGCAAAAGCCGCTTCTGCTTTGGAGATTTTGCCATAGTTTTCTACCGGGAACACAAGTACTGGAGACTATAGCATTTTCCCAGCAAGGATAGATTTCAGATTTTATTTCCAAATATGCATATATCCCTCAAAAGCTGTTTTAAAAAAATTTCAAAGAAATGGAAGAAGAAGAAGAAGAAGAAAAAGCTTTCAGTCTTCACAAAGAGGACCAATATGATATGTTCCAATGCCAACACTTTTTCAGTAGAAGAAACATGAGGGTAAACCAGTAAAAGGAAACATAATACTTACAGTTTGTACAGCCAAAAACACAAGGAAAACATCCCTAGCCACAAAGAGTCTGAACTTTACTTTTCTCCAACTGTTGTCCTCTAACTCCGCCACCCGAAGATGAAATTGAGCTTTACAAGTAGTGCAATGTGAAAATGCAAATCCCTCCTACATAAGAATGCATAGGTCATATCAGAACTTGTCATTTCATATTTAATCATTTGCATTGTACTACACAAATGTATGAGGGACAATATCTCACTTTGACTGATCGCCAATGATCAAGACAAGCACGGTGCACAAACTGCTGGGTGCCCTTGCACATGCATGGTGAGATCAATTCATCATCTGAAGAGGCGACAATTAGCAAAAACTAAGACTATATGTAATGAAAAGTACTAGCACCATAAATATAAACATCTACCAAAATGGAGCATGCTTAACAGATCTTGAAAATTATTCCAGCCACTAATGAAGTACATAGTACATATTAACAAATAGAACAGAATGCACACATTAACAGTGATGGAACACAATTAAAACAACACATATAAACAGTGATGGAACAGAATTATACGATCTCCCAACTCTTCAGAAATCCTACTACATTGGTTCTTGGTGCTAGATTGTGGACAAGGTCACATATTCGAGCCTGACAGCTAGAGTGTGGGAGTTCCATCACTCTGTGGTGGGCTCGGGCTCCTTAGTGACACCAGACACTGAAACTCGGGCCGTTGAGTTTACCCTCCACAATCCTATCAGGCCGGGGTGTGGAACCTGGGGCAAAGGCTTAGCCTTTTGTGGACAAGAAATCCTACCATATTGCCTACCTGTCTCTTACAAAACAATAACATCACATCACAAACATTTACACTCCTAGATCACTCTATACCACCTGAACTTTAAAACCTAGAAAAATAAAATTAAAAATTGACCCAAACAGCTAGCTATAGCATAGCTAGATAATCACGCATAGAAATGCAAGAAATTATAAAATAAATCAATTCTACCATCTTCCCCGTCGCATTCGAGGCAGATTCTACAGCAAGGCAGCGAACCAGTCTCCAAATCTTCGACCTTTATCTCGTTGGGGCTCTCCGATGCAGATGAAGACGACGGCGACGAGTCCACATGCTGGCCGTGGAGCAGAGGATCGGTGTCGCTAGGATTAGGCCCTCCCAACGCCTCCAGCTGTACTTCTCCTTTCATCGATCCTATTCCTTATCAAAAACAAACCAAATTCGTGGCAGACTCCAAAAGCCCTAATCTTTTAGGCGAAGATATCTCACAGTGGATCGCTAATCAATGATCGATTAACCAAAATAAGAACCCATAACAGTTTTTATAGTATACAAATAAAAGGGCAAAAGTTTCAAACAAGAATTATGAATTTTTACAAATAACGGAGAGAGAAAGAGAGAGAGAGAGTCTTGAGGATTGAAGAAATGTGTGAAGCGCATACAGAAAGACGTAGAAGAAGACGACGACGTCAACGGAGAAGCCTAGATGCTTTCCTTGATTTGATTATTTTTTTTCAATATAGTTATAATTATTTTGTGATTTGTAAAATTGTAAGTTGTCGAAACGTATAAGTGTACTTTGGGGAAGAAATCGAGATTCTTTTTGGAGTTCAGAAGCTCTATGACTTGTATCCAAGGTATAGCCGGCTACGTTACCATACGACTTTAGTTTATCACCTTATTGGTTCAATAAATAATATTTATAAAAAAATTAACATTTAATTTTTGACAACATTAGTGTATAAATTATATTTAAAATAGACCAATTTATTATAGCACATCATTTAACTATGTCCTTCTAAATACTCTATTAAATCGGAATGAGGAGTTCGTAAAGATTTTTAAGATTAAAGATTCAACCTTTTGGAAGAAGGTAGGTTAACATATAAATAAATTTAAAGTTTAAGTGGGTATTTATTAATATAGTTATTTTTTTTTTGAATATTAATGGTTCTATTATTATATTGTAGTATCTGTTCATATACTTTCTCAACCTACTGAAACACAAAGAACCAATAACGCCTCTACTGAGGGGCTTGAACTCACAATCTTCCAAATGGAAGTCCAACCCGGATACCATTAGACCACATAGTCTTGGTATTAATATAGTTATTTAATTAACAAGAATTTCAAACATTTTTTTTAATTAAGTCAAATGAGAGACAAAAATAAAAATGTTAACCTCCACAAAAGTTCGATCTCATGACCTCCCATATGAGAGAGGTCAAAACATAGTCAACAATTTCTCCCATATGAAAGAGGTCATCACATGTCATCTAAACACAAGGTGCTTGACTAAAATTTGAGATATCTAACTTTTTAAAAATATAATTAATTATCTGAACAAGTCAAATGTATACAATTAAATAAAAAAGATAGGTACTCTACTACTCTAGATAAAAATTTGATGCAATGATATTAAAATTTTATTTTTTTTATTTATGTTTTAAAATAAAAACAAATATAAACATAGAAGAACGCATTTTCTAAACTCCTAACCAAGTGTCATATATGTTTTTTTGCAATAAAGGTCAAATAGGTTATCGAACTATGCACACGATAATGCAATTAGGCCAATGAACTTAAAAACCTACAATTAGTTTTGGCATGGATCGTAGAAAATCGGCATGTCAGGTTGATTGGGGCCGTTAGAGTTTTGGCAGAAGTAGATGACCATATTACCCTTATTATTATTAAACAAAAGCAAGTCAATTAACATTTTCTAGTGACATTTAACCGGAGTGACAAAAATTAATAGAAATTGAATAGTTAAAAGTACTACTCCGTAATTAACAAGACGGTCGTTGTAGTCATATGATCAAAACTGAAATTTTCTCAGGTACTTATGTCTAAATGCCATTACATACTTCAGCCTACCATCTAGTATGAGAGAATCAACAAGAAGAATTTCTCCTTGAATCACAATCGATATGATTAATCAATCTTGATATATATATGGCGCTTACCTAGCTACAACTTCTGAAACTGTGATTTCATTAGTGGACAAGGACAACCATTCATCTTTTTCTTGGGTTTCTGAGTGCTGGGCACCTTCCTCTGCAATGAAAAATGCAGGTTGTTTAGGCAAAGGTAGCTGTGCGCTTTGATTTGCAAGCATGGAGACCACAGTTGACATTGAAGGCCTATATATTGCGTCATCTTGCACACACAACAATCCCACTTGAATACACCTCATTACTTCTGCTTCTGGGCAGGATCCACTCAATGCTGGATCCATTAGCTCTACACCTCTCCCTTCTCTCCACAGCTCCCATGCCTGCAAAAATATATATTGTCATAAAACAAATATATTTAGCTAATGCTCTGTATGTAATGTTGATGATCTTACCAAACCAATGAGATTTAGCGGGTGTTCCAAATGATACGAGCTGTTGTTTTTCTTGCCGCTCACAATCTCTAGGAGTAGAACCCCGAAACTGAATACATCTATCTTGGTTGAAACAATTCCCCTCAGGGCATACTCCGGAGACATGTATCCACTGAAGTACGTGACAACCAAACAATGGTGTTAGAATTTCAAAACCATAACTACTAACAATCAAACTATTATTAGTTACTTACTAGGTTCCAACAATTCTTTTGGTGTTTGCTTCAGTTTCCTGCCTCCCGGAGATTCTAGCCATGCCAAAATCAGATATTTTCGGGTTCATATTTTCATCCAGTAAGATGTTACTGCTTTTTAGGTCTCTATGAATGATTGTCAACCTCGAATATTTGTGGAGATAAAGCAACCCCTGAGCAACCCCTTCTATAATGTTCAATCTGTTTCCCCATCTTAGCACCTCCTTCCTATTAGGGTCTGTTTGTTCATACCAAATTCATACAACCATATGAGTACATACAATAAACCATATAATATATGGATAAGTAAATAAGTAGTGAATGATCACTTGTACATACTTACCAAATAAAATATAATCTAAACTTTTATTAGGCATATACTCGTAAATTAAAATTTTCTCATCTTCTTCAATGCAGCAACCCAGAAGTCTAACAAGATTAGTATGCTGGAGTCTGGCAATCAATAGAATTTCATTCTTGAACTCCACAAGACCTTGTCCTGAGCTTTTTGAGAGTCTCTTAATAGCCACTTCTTGCGTATTAGGTAATGTTCCCTAAAATTTCAATACAATAATCATATTATTTAGTGGATGGTTAAACTTTTTTAAATAAAAAATCTTTTAAACTAATTACCTTGTAAACTGGTCCAAACCCACCCATTCCGAGCATACTTGCATTAGAGAAGTTGTTTGTGGCCATAACAATGCTCTTAAAACTGAATACCTGCAGTTCATGACTAATTTTTTTGTCTATATTGTTCTTGTTCACTCTTGAAGGTGTCACAACATCTCTTAGTTCATCTAGTAATAGACTGGCTTTGTCTGATTGTTTATATCATTGAAATAAAAAGCAATATATTAGAGGGATTGATCATCTAAATATGCATGATTCTGACGTGATATTTTTGTAATTAGAATTGTGCATTTGGAGATGTTTGACTATGCATTTGAAAAATAATTAACATTGAATTTAGACAAAAGTTTTCAAATGCACAATCAGACATTACAAGATGCAGAATCATAATTACAGAAGTAATCATAGAAATGTCACATCATTTGTAGAAAAATATTTGCTAATGCATATGGAGAGAAGTTTCTGGTGCGGGTGTGCGCCTCAGGTGCGATTGTGTGGTTTAATCTGAGTCATTCATCTCGCTTAAATCAACGCCCAAGATTATCAAAAAAAAAAAAAAATTTAAAAAAAAAACAAACAGTGGCAATTTGGTAATTTTTGGATCTAGGTCAAAATTAAGGTGAGTGGTTTTGTGATTAAGGTGCGTGAGTTTTGTATATAAGGTGCATGAGGTTTGTGCTTAAGGTGCGTGGGGCTTGTGCTTAAGGTGCGTGAGGGTTGTGCATAAGGTGCGTGAGGGTTGTGCATAAGGTGCGTCAGTTTATAAACTAAGATGCGTGAAGTTAATACTTAAAGTGCATCAGGTTAACACTTAATGTGCGTTGTTCTAACACTTAAGGTGCGTGAGGTTTGTGCTTAAGGTGCGTGTGGTTTGTGCTTAAGGTGCGTGGAGTTAGTGATTAATGTTAGTAGTTGTTGAAACTTAAGGTGCGTGAGGTTTGTCCTTAAGGTGCGCGTGGTTTGTGCTTAAGGTGTGTGTGGTTTGTGCTTAAGGTGCGTGAGGGTTGTGCATAAGGTGCGTCAATTTATAAACTAAGATGCACAAAGTTAATACTTAATGTGCGTTGTTCTAACACTTAAGGTGCGTGTTTCTATCATAAGGTGAGCCATTTTTAACTTGTGCTTCTTTCTTCCAAACACGCATTTTCTTTATTTTAATTTTCATTGATTTGAGCTGTTGATCTGAATTTGATCAACGGCTCAGATATAATCGCACAACCGCACGGAAAACTATTCCCGCACCTGAACCCTTCTCTCTCTCTCTCTATATATATATATATATATATATATATATATATATATATATATATATATATATATAGATTTAGGTTCTCGTGCGGGTGAGGGCTTCAGGTGCGGTTGTGCGGTTTAATCTGAGTCATTCATCTCGCTTTAATCAACGTCCAGGATTATCAAAGTTTAAAAAAAAATGCTGTGGCAATTTTGTAATTTTTGCATCTAGGTCAAAATTAAGGTGAGCGGATCTGTGATTAATGTGCGTGAGTTTTGTGCTTAATGTGCGTGTGTTTTGTGCTTAATGTGCGTGAGGTTTGTGCTTAATGTGCGTGGGGATGTGCTTAACGTGAATAGTTGTTAAAACTTAAAGTCTGTGAGTGAATACTTAAAGTGCGTGAGTTTTGTGCTTAATGTGCGTGATGTTTGTGCTTAATGTGCGCGGGTTTTGTACTTAATGTGCGTGAGTTTTGTACTTAATGTCAGTAGTTGTTGAAACTTAAAGTCTGTGAGTTAATATTTAAAGTGTGTGGGTTTTGTGCTTAATGTGCGTGAGGTTATGCTTAATGTGTGTTGGTTTTGTACTTAAAGTGTGTGACTTTGTGATTAAGATCTAACACTTAAGGTGCACCTTAGCTTATACTTCTTTGTTTCAGGCACGCGTTTTTTTTTTTTTTTTTTTTTTTAATTTTCATTGATTTGAGCCGTTGATCTAAATTTGATCAACTGCTCAGATTTAACCGCACAACCGCACGGGAAGCTATACTCGCACCTGAACCCTTCCCTCTATATATATATATATATATATATATATATATATATATATATATATATATATATATATATATATATATATATATATATATATCCAAAACCTCACCTTTTGTAGTCTTTTTCCATCGAAAATAGCAAATGGAGCATACTATTAGGAACATCACTGAAGCAAGAACAACTAGCAACCATATCCACCACTTCCTCGAGCTTGCTGCAGTCGAAACAAAGGATCCTGCATGCATATATGTAATTAACTTCATATCAGATAAGCGTTCCTATATATTATAAGTTTGCAAAGTATCAATTCATTTTTAGCTAGTCAATTTTGAGGTTGAAATAGAACACATCATGGTAACTTATATTAATCTAAGACATTTTCGTCCCTTCTCCCCTAATTTCTTATTTTGTGGGTCAAATCTTATTCACATTTTCTATTCTCAAGTTCTACTCTCACTCTCAAATTTTTTATATAGACTTTTTTTTAAGACTCACATAATAAAAATAATCGATTCTTATTTATCGAATAAAAGTGAAAGAACTAATACTTTCTTTCTAATTTTCTCACTTTTTCTCCCCATTTTATTTTGTTATTTAAATCTATTTTGATTTAAAATCAAATTTTGAAATTATAATTATAAGAAGTAATAAAATAATGGTGGCCAGCACTTTGTCCCTTAAAATTGGGTCGGATCGGTGTGAACGGGGTTAGTCTAAGTATGGTACGAGCTTAAAGGTACATCCTACAGTTATGGTCTGTCCAATACACCTCATGGTCTGACAAAAAAAAAATAATGCATAATGTGGATGATTATAGTATTGAAAAAAAAAACATAAAATGACATTTTAAGTTGCTGTTTTGTGGTATAAATATATGTGGGGTCCACTTTCGATTTGGATTGGGTCAAAGTATGTGGATTTGGGTTCTTTGTAGTGAGACAAAGAGATCGATATATTATACGCTCAAAACGGATAATGAATTCTCAAAGTAGACCTATTTGAGTTGAAAAATGAATGTGGTAATGCTCGAAAGAATCATTTATCCCATATAGAAAATGGAAGTGGGTTTGCACTAGTATATGCACAAGTTCCTTTAGAGTAAGTTTGAATTGTATAATTTAGAGTAAATTAATTTTTGTCAGTTATGAAAGTTATAAACTAGGTTTTAATTAAATCAGTGTTAATGTCATATGTAAATGCTATTTAATCACTTTCTCCTATATATACCATGGCTGAGAAATCTAAAGTTTTCCCTCTTTAAAACTTGATTTTCCTTTTCAAAATCTGTGTTCAAAGTCATTGTTCTAGTTCGTCGGACTCATTTGTTTGAGTGTTCAAACATCGAGTCCTAAGCTAATTTGTTTTATCTTGAAAAATTTAAGGTACAATGTTCATAGCATTGAGATAGCAAATAAAGTTCTAAGAATAATGTGAGTACACAGCACTCGAACTAAACTTTTTTTCTGTCCTTTCGTTTTGTGCTTGTTTCAAAAATTAATATTTTTGTAGTATTATTTCGTTACATATAAGGCCCAAAATGGAAAGAAAAGGAGAAGGATTAAAGAAGGGGGAAAAAAAGTGAAGTTATTATGTTCTGAAAAGTTGAGCCCACCAAATAGGGAGATTAGGGACGGACTTGATTAATAGACAGATAGAACTTAATTATAGTTTATTTTAAGGAGTAAAAATTCAAAATATGCCTCCACTATAGCTAAATTCATAAATTGGTTCTCGACTTTTAATTTCAACTAATTAAGTCCTTAATTTTACAATTTTAACACGATTTGATCCTCCGTTTATTTGACCATTTGTTGACTGTGATTTTTGAGGATATATATGTAATTTCATGGTCCATCGTCGGTTTTTTAAGGTTCCAGTTGCATTTTCAGACCGCACTCTAGTTGAGTTCGTATCAGAGCGAAAAAGACGACATGTTTCCGAAAAGGTGCAACGTCATCCTGGTGGCCTCCATGTGCTCCAACGAGAGCTGCAGGTTCTTCTGGAGATCGTCGATGACGGCACAGCCGCCGGCGATGATGCAGAATCGTGAAATTACATATATATCCTCAAAGATCACGGTCAACGAACTGTCAAATAGACTGAGGACCAAATTGTGTTAAAATTGCAAAGTTAAGGACTTAATTGGTTGAAATTGAAAGTCAAGGACCAATTTGTGAATTTAGCTATAGTCGAGGGACCATTTTGAGTATTTACTCTATTTTAAGCTAAAAATAAACTATAAATTTTGTTTGCTAAAACATTGAGAGAATATATATTTATTTTAAAACGCTACCTCAGATGTGTTTCAAAATAAATTCATGACTTTTTAATTTTTTTTTCTTTTTTATATTTATTACTCAGTAATTCACAAAAAATGATATAATTTTCCCTTCATTAATCCAAATCCTAATATCTTTTTTTTTTCTTTGAATGCTACTAGCTCTATTACATTGTAGTGTCTGTGTTCTTATACTTTCTCAACCTACTGAAACACAAAGAGCTAATAACGCCTCCACTGAGGCTCAAACTTACAACCTTCCAAATGAAAGTCCAACCCGGATACCATTAGACCACATAGTCTTGGTCATATCCTAATATCTTAGTTTATTGTTTTTGCCTTTTTTTAAAAAAATACTTATGATTCTTTACAAGGTAGTATATGTTCTATACTTTCTCAAACACTTTTAGTTAAAAAAATCTAAACTCCCACCACCGAGATTCAAACCTTTGACCATCCAAGATAACCAAGATGTCATCACACTACATGATAGTTGACATTATTTTTGTCTTTTTAACTAATTTAACAATTAATTTGACCAAATACTTTATTTTCAATTAATTAACTTATTAGCTGCTATGCAATTTTCACCTAGGGTGCCAAACTGAGCCTAGAATGAAATGGATGGAGATGTCCTAACGAAGAAATAAGAGGAAATTTCAATTTTGGTCATATGACTATAGGAGTCTTGTTAATTTCAGTCCTTTGACTTTTAAAAGTGTCAATTTAGTACCTTAACTATGCAATTTTTGTCAATTTTGGTCACTCCGGGCAAATTGCCGATCAAATTTTGCAGGAAAATTTTAATTGTCAAAATAATGAGGGTATTTTATCATTTCACGTCTCTTTTCTTCTTCCCAGGCGAGTCCATCCCTTCCTCTCTCATTTCCGGTGAATGCAATGAACTAAGATGATGGGGAAATGAGGCGGTGATATTAAAGATAGGGTTTAGATGGAGAAAGAACACCGGAAACGGGAGAGAAAGAGATGGACTCGCCGGAGAAGAAGAAAAGAGGCGTGAAACGACCAAAATACCCTTATTATTTTAACTATTAAAATTTGGCCGGCAATTTGGCCGGAGTGACTAAAATTGACAAAAATTACATAATTAAGGTACTAAATTGACACTTTTAAAAGTCAAGGACTGAAATTAACAAGACCCCTACAGTCATATGACCAAAATTGAAATTTCTTCAAGAAATAAAATACGTGCAAGTAACATATACGTTCCTGTTCCCGGAATATACAGTAACCCACTCCCGGCACTGAAATTCATTCCGGGATTATATCTCCGCACCAAATCTTCACTCACGTTAGCCGCATTTGCCACCGTCTGCAAGCTCTCTCCCGGCCTCAGGGGATACGTAATGAACAAGTCGTAGCCCTGGGGCAAATCTCTATTCCCGCACGAGCAGTTGACCATCACGTTCAACACCATCCCTACATCCAGGGAAAAAACATCCTTGTCCGAGAGATGGTTAAACTTCTGCAACCATTGATAAGTGGTTAAACTGGAATAGTAGGACATCGAAATGATAAAGAGGGTGTCCCCTTCCCGAATGGTGTACGGAAACATGCGCCCCAATTCGCCGTTAATCGACAGGCAATCACATGGGAATGGGACGTTGATCCTGGTTCCTGCAAGGACGGAATCCCCGTTTGGGAAAATTGCAGTTGGGTTGTAGGCAATGATTTTCTGTGCAGGAATGGAGAACAGCTGGGCGATGAAGCTCAGATTCATGCCCGGAACAACGTAGTATGAGGCTAGAGCCAAGTCACACCCCTCACTGCAACTCGACTCAGCTGGAGGGAGAAGTACTGATGATGATAAGCTGAGAAGAGATAAGATTATGGGGAGGAGATGAGAGTTGAGGTTGTTCCTGGTTTGGATTGATGAAGAAGAAAGACCCACATGTTGACTAAAACCCATGAGCGGCAGGAGAATGGAGCTCTGATCTTTTGGAATGAAGAAATGTTGGGTTTGGAAAGACTTGTCAAATAAATAATGGAAAATGGATGGATAATCGAAACAGGCCAGGGCAAAGAATGTATGCACATGGAACTATGCAAGTAGCACGCAAAAAAGTAAACGTGTTATAATAATATTATTATTATAATTGTTAAACCAAGGCTTAATTAGTTTGTTAATTAAATAAGTAGAGGGTGGCATGTAGTTGCTTAGTACGTGAAGCATAGTGGGGTATGGCAGCAGCATTTCATGAAATAATGGCAGTATATGGAGCATTAGTGCTTACATGCATTTCTTAATTTTTAGCATTGTTGTTATCTACATTTACCATAAGGCTGTCCTCAATCCTGCAATTCTAAGCTCTTGCAAGATGATGTGGCAGGAGAGAGAGAGTATATTTATTGCATTGTTTTAATCCTACGAGTGTGTATTGCAAGATGGCTATTTTAGCAAGTGCTTGCTAATCAGAAGAAAGTTGCAATATGGCAGCTTTTGCTGCCCAAAGCTGCCCATGGCAGGCAAAAGCTGCCGCCACATGCTTTGTTATGTGTTTCTTTATTTTTTTTTATTTCTTTTATATTACGAGTATTTTATTATTATATTTATAATATAATAAGAATGTGGGACCTATTTTTAAAAGTGAGAGATTTGCTGGGATGTAAAATAAATAGTGAAGAAATTGTAAATTTGATGATGTGGAAGTGCGACCCATTTTAAAAAGTGAGAGAAATTGCTGGAATAACGATAGCCTAAATAGGCTTTGTATCAATCCTTTTAAATCGTCAGTAATCAAGTAGTTTTATTCTTTCATTCCTTCGTATTCCACTTTCTTTCGTGTGTATATATTATGACAACAAATTTCAATATTGTATGATACGGTCCCAAATCAGACGAGAAACTTGATTATAATTATTGGCAAATTATGATGTCCACACATTTGAAAGCTCAAAATCTTTGGAGCTTTGTTGATCCCGGTCTATCCGAAGGAGTTGATGCACCCGCTACAAGGCGAGATCAATTGCCCTTGGGACAGATTCACTAAGGTGTTCATTACTCCATTTTTGAGCAATTAACTCGTGCTCAAACAGCAAAGAAAAAAAAAAAAAACAGCAATGCAAGCTTGGGACATCTTAAAGGTGTCACACAAAAGAGTCGATCGGGCACAGAAGTCTAAGTTGCGTCGTTGAGAAGGTTGTACGATAATTGTGAGATGACCTCTACAGAAACAGTAGATACGTATTTCACTCGTCTTATTGATACAGTGAATAAGATGATGTTATATGGAGATACGATTGAAGATGGTGCAGTGGTTGAAAAAGTTCTTCGAACTATGCTGATGAAGTATGACCATGTGGTGACTTCAATCACAGAGTCACACAAAACCGAACTCTTATCAATTGCAGAGCTGAAGTTATTTATCATGTGCCCATGCTCCTATTTTCTCCTATGTTGATTTGATTGTTGACGAGTGCAAGGCTTCTATGTCTACTTTTAATCATTGCCTTGTTAGTTTAGTACCTAGATAAGTTAATATTATTGCCCATACTCTTGCTTCTGCAGTTTTTACTCAGGTTATAACACTCTGTTTTGGAATTCTATCCCTCCTTATTCTATTTCTACTTTATTATAGTAATCCATATTGTATTTACTTTCAAAAAAAATATTAAACTTAATCGAATCAAACAAATAAAATGTGACCCAAAAAAAATACTAAATTTAATCGAACCAAACAAACAAGTGGGAGTATTATACAAATGGATATATGCTTCATTAACTATTATAATAGTCGAATAATATAATAGCTACATCCAATGATAACTCTAGTTCATTCATGCAATGTACATAAGCTAAGGGTCTACTGGAATATTACATTAACAATTCACTTAATAATTGCTTCAGTCAACCATCAACCGTCGTTAATTTGGAATAATAGTTCGTCTTGGGAATTGACAGACCAACTAGTTTGCAGAAGTCTAGAATGGACCATAGAACTATACAAGACGATAGTTTGAACAACAAAAATTTGCCCTTGAATCACAACAAAAAAAGAAAAAAAAAAATCTTGATGAATTTATTAACCTATATATGGTGCTTATCTAGCTACCATTTCTGAAACTGTTATTTCATTATGGTGCTTATCTAGCTACCAAAAGAGAATTAAGAAGAATTAGAGAAATTTAAATCAAAATTAGTATTTATTTAAACTATCATTTTTAGACTAACAGGGCGTTTGGTTGGAGGGATTTTAAATTCCCTTCCCACTTAATTCCCACCTAATTCCAAAGGCCACAAAATTCCCTTGTTTGGTTGAAAGGAATTGCAATTCCCCAATTTTCATGGAATTAAAATCACATGTCCCCCTGGTATTTTAATTCCTGGGATTTTAGGAAGAAAAAAAAATAGTGATGAGTCAAAATTACCCTTCCATTTTTTAATCTAAAATTAATGTTTGACAACAACAATGAACATTTTGGACTTTATACTACTTATTCCCTTTTCAATTCCCATGTATATCAAACATTGGAATTGAAATTCCCAGTAATTCTATTCCTGCCAACTAAACATTGGAATTTAAATTCCACTTTATTCCCAGTAATTCATCTCTCATGGAATTGCAAATCATTTCCCACGTAATTCCCCCTCTCCAACCAAACGCCATGTAAGTATTTAGACTTGCGTTATTACAAAGTTGCAAACATTTATTTAGTGACAATTATAATCAATCTCTCATATATTATCTTGCATTTATATACTTTGAATTACCGATTTAAATAAACAAATTCAACATTTATTTACCTATGCATGAACATCTCCTATATAATATTGCATTAATATACTTTGAAATACTTATTTAAAAATAATCATTGGGCAATATCCCACGTAAAAAAAAAACTAGTATATATAATAAAGTAGAATCTAGTCACCAAATTTTTCCTCCAAAGTGTGAATACCTTTTGATAGAAATAAGATTAGCAAGTATGAATGCATTAATTATGTGGGTAGATGTATTTATACATATTTTTTTGAAGTTATTATGTGTATTTATATTTTATAAATTATATTTTATTATTTCATTTAAACCTCAATTATAATTAATTTGACTCCACATATATAAAGAGGAAAAATTATATATAAAATAAATATAATTTTTACATAAATAATCTTTTTCAAATGAATAAATTTTTGGTGGAGATTTTTGACAAATATCGCGTGTTATTTTATTTACAAATTTTATTTAAATACATTTTTTAAAAGGAAAGTTTTATTTAAAAACGTTAGTTATATAATTAAAGTAGTTATTTCAAATTCAAATTCCTTTTAAAAAAATTTCAAATTCAAATAATAATACAAATAACAATAAACTTTAAACTCAACATAATGATAGCATAATTAAACTTTTTAAAATATTAAATATTACATTGTATAGTTATACTTACATTTTTAATCAAACTAATTCTGAGCTCAATAACCCAAGTACGTTTTTCTGTTTCCACAACCATTACTTTCTTTGCTAATTCAGAAGATGTCAAAAATTTAATTGGTAGATTTGTTAAATTAATAATAGTACGTGTATCGCACGGGACAATTACTAGTTATATTTAAAATAGACAGATCTTTTATGCGCACGACATTTAATTATGCCTTCCCAAATACTCTGTTAAATCGGAATGTGGAGCCCGTAGAAGTCTTTTGGGAGAAGGTAGGTTAACATATAAAATAAAAGAGTTAATTCTAGCAATGGTCCTCCGACTATGTTGATTTTCCACAATTGGTCCTTGACTTTTAATTTGGACAATTTAGACACTTGACTTTTGAAATCTTTCCAATGTTGGTCCTTACGTTAGTTGAAAGTTAAGTGGATGTTAGTTTGAGGGGTAAAAATAGTCATTTCACCTACTTAAATCAAGTGAGGGCTGAAAACACTAATTCAAATAGATTGATTGATCGGCAATATAATATTCCGTCTTCCCTCACCGGAATGCTTATGCGTCGATCGCCTCGCAACGCCAACGAAGGTCCTTTTCGTTTCAAGCCTACTCAGGTTATTCCATCGCATCCTCTGGGTATATATAGTTATTCCATCGCATCATCTATATATATATAATATATAGGGATAAGGGTCAAATAGACCCTTCAACTATAGGTCAAAATGCAATTAGCCCCTTAAACTAAGAAATGCTCCAATTAGACACTTCATCTCCTCACTTTGATGCAATTTAGCCCATAATTTATTAAATTTGTACAATTAACTTATTTTGCAGGTAAATTCAAGATAATAGCAGGTAAATTTGGATTTTTTTATAAAATATAATTTTAAAATAAATTTAAAAAACATATTTCCACTGGCCGGCGAGAAATACTTTGGCAGACAACGTCGTTTTCACGTAGGTGGCGGAGCTCATCTCTATTTGACAGATTCTGACTGCGCAGAATAACTTTTCCGACAGCTCCTCCTTCGACTGCGATTCTTTTCTGATGGACATTGACGATGGCCATGATTTCGTGTTCTGAAACTATAACTCAGGCAACCCATTTGATTTTCTTGTTCCATGGTTTTCATCCCGGAATGAAAGGAAAGAGATGTAGGAATACCACTGATGAGAGTAGAAAGGCATGAGTGACAACAATAAATATTGCGCTCCACTATTTTGGAGGTTGTTGTTTGCTAGGATAAATGTGCCACAATGCTAATCTGAGGTATTTGATAATTTTGGTTTTTGGTTTTCATTTTTTCTTGTTGATTTTCCTGGGTTTTGATTATGAAAAGCTAAGAAAGAACAACAAAAATGCTTGAGAAGAAGAATTTTCGTTTTTGCTTTTCATTTTTTCTTGTTAATTCTCCTGTTAAATGGGTTTTGATTATGAAAAGCTAAGAAAGAAGTGAAAGAACAATGGAAATGCTGGTGATGAAGAAGAAGAAAGAATGGTTTTTGCTTTTCATTTTATCTTGTTGATTATCCTGTTAAATGGGTTTTAATCCCATGTCGATTGTGACACGGGACGGTGAAGACACCGCTACCAGAGGTTTTTTTTTTTTTTTTTTTTTTTTTTTTTTTTTTTTTTTTAACTAATTACTTTATATTAATAATATGTTTTTAATTAATTTTTTAAATTAAAAAAAATGACCGGTTACTTAGAGGTAACCTGTTAGATAACTTAATTGCATACAAATGAGAAGTTAAATTGCCTAATTGGAGCTTTTCTATATTTAGGGGGCTAATTGCACTTTTATCTATAGTTGAAGGGCCTATTTGACCCTTATCCCTAATATATATAAACTTCAGCTTTTTGAACACTAGTTCATTCAATTCGAAAGCATATCTTTCAAAATTCACATCTTTCAGTTTGAAAATCTCCTGGTTGGGTAACTTAGAGAAAGTGGTCACAGATTTGGGCACCAAATAACACATTGTGATGCTCAGTTTTTGAAGGTTTGGTGGGAAAGCATTCCAGCATGGGGAATTCTTTACCAAGATTGAGCAAAACTTTAGTGTTTCTAGTCGTTTCAAGTAGAGAAGATTGGTGAGGCAACCATTCAAATGCGGTCTAATCCCCTGCTCTTGATTTAACACCCATTTTGTTACTCCTACTCCTGCACCACACCCAGTAATGCCCAATTTTTTAAGATTGGAGATACTAATGAAAACTTCTCTTGTACAACTGCTGAGGTGTATAAAGCAAAGTGTTTCCAGATTTAACAAAACCTTAGTAATTGTCATAGGAGGATTAGTCCACAAACTGGAATTCTTAAGATGCAGATGCCTCAACTGTTCCATTTCCCACATTTCTGTTGGCAAGATCAGAACTCCTGATGTTTCAAGGACTAATTAAGGTTTGTAGATTCACAAGTTTGGACACTGGAAGAGGAAAGTCGCCTTTATAGTTAAGGGCTAGATACTTCATATGAAGCAGCTGTGTTATCTCTACTGTGTTTCCAACTAAGGCAAATAGTGTCAATCTTTGAGCTAATAATATCCACACCAGAAGTGAAGCTAATTAGTTGCTCATTATAGGCATATGCACTATAAATGGTGGAATGCTATTTCTTAACCTGCATAAACTTCTCCTTTTCGCTTTCTTGCAAACTCAATTCGCGCACCAGATCATGAATAACACACGTCTTAGTGGTTCCACCATTCGCACACAAGAGTTGAAGTCGCAGAAGGCGGAAGCGGTTTCCGTTCCCAATTATAATAATAAGGTGAGAGCTAGTGGCGGTGGAGGGGAGTGAGTATAACGGGAAAATTGTGTTGCAGCCACGGATGTTTTTACTTTGAGATCGTTTGGGTCTGATTCCTGCGGAGTCATCAAGACCAAGACCGATTCTGTGGCCACCGGAGACGACGACGACGAGGTCTCCCCGTTTTTCGCAATGCTGTCGGATTACATAGAGAGCTCCAAGAAAAGTCAGGATTTTGAGATCATTTCTGGCCATCTCGCCATGGTAAGTAAATAACCTTCTTTTCACAAGGTGATAGCAGGTATATATCTAGGTTTGGTGAGCAGGAATTAAGTGAGCTGCTAAGTATGTATGTATATTTGATGCATATATAGTGTGTCATGCATGCACATACAGATAGTGTTTGCAGTGACGGTGACGACATCGGTTGTGATCGGAACGAAATTCATTATTTTGGAAGATGGAGTTATGGGGATCGCTGAAGCCGCGGGAGTTTGCTTAGGAGTCGTGACTTGTGCCGCCTGCCTGGTTTTTCAGCGCCGGTAGCAGAGTCGCTCATTGCAGTTGCCACTTTCTTCCATGAAGGTGAAATGACAACTTTACCCCTCAAACTAACATCCACTTAATCTTCATTTGACGGAAGGACTAACATGGGAAAGATTTCAAAAGTCAAGTGTCTAAATTGTTTAAATTAAAAGTCAAGGACCAATTGTGGAAAATCAACATAGTCAGATGACCATTACATGAATTAACTCTAAAATAAAATTAAAATTTAAGTGGGTATTTTTTATTTTTCAAAAAGAAAAAGTGGGTATTTATTAATATAGTTATCTAATCTAAACTATATAGTTTGGGAAATAATTAATGCTACAATTAATGTTACTTCCCAAACCATATAGTTAAGATTAATTTTACAATTAATTACCAACATTATTATTAGGGAAAATGACACTTTTTCCCCCTAAATTATATACTTATAGTACTTTTTCCCCCTCAATTATTTAAGTGACTTTTTTTCCCCCTTAAATGTTAAATGAACATATTTACCCTTAAAATAAATATTTAAAGTAAATATTTCATTTATTTTTATTCTCCAACAAATTATTACTATAATTTGGTTTAAACCAAACAGATACTATAGCAACCAAACCAAAATATTTCAATTACAATTTATAATCAAAACGCGATATTTAGAGTTTATTAAAATCGCGGACCAGAATGGCCGGTTCATGTTCCGGACTGAAAAAATAAAATACATTTATTGTTGAATTTAGATTATTTTAAAATAAAAAATAAAATTTTAAAATAAAGATGGTTCAAAATCGCGAACTGGATCCGGAATCGCCGGTTCACGGTTCATGATCCAGTTTTTTTTATTCTTAAATTTAATAAATTGAAATCCAAATATTGGGTTCTAGATCTGAATCATAACTGAAAACTTTTAATTCGATTGCTATAGTGTCTGGTTCAGTTTGAACCGAACCGTGGTAATCGCTACATATACGCAATAATTTGTTGGAGAAGTAAAATAAATAAAATGTTTACTTTAAGGGTAGAAATGTCAATTTAATATATTAGGGGGAAAAACCACCACTTTTAAAATAATTGAGGGGGCTAATGTGCTTACATAAATAATTGAGGGGAAAAAAGTGCTATAAGTATATAACTTAGGGGGAAAAAGTGCAATTTTCCCTTATTATTATTACTAGCTATAAATATAAAATAGTCACAACATCCTTTACTAAAAAAAAAAAAAAGCATAACATTTGAAAAATAAAATAACTATTTTTTTCTCGTCCATAACAAAGGATTACATTTATTGAATTAATGGAGTTATTAAATGTTATGATATTAGGATTAAGGATTCCGATTCCCGATTAATAAAAAATATGAAACGATGCAATATCAATTAAATCTCTGATTTACAATGAAAGTTTATTTGATATGCTTTTGTTATTTAGGGTGCTTCTTAGGATTACAATATTAATTAAATTTTCAATGAAAACTTATTCAATATCTGAAACAGTGCAATTAATTCAAGCCTCTACATATAATTTTTCTCCCTCTCAAATGCTTCAAAGAAATGGCAGAAGCGAGAAGGGATGAAGAAAGCAAATGCTGCGGGTCGTGGGTCAATTATTGGACTTCAGAATAAAAAAAAAATCATTTGAGCCATAAATAAAAATTTAAATATATATAAATGTATATATCGTATGGGTCTTTAATGTTTTTCTGGACTTATAAAAGAAAAAAAAAATACATTTGAATTATCTCCACAAAAAGTAGTCTTGGACTTATAGAATGACATTTGGGTTTATGGAATGACATGTGCATAAAGAATATATTATATAATTATATAAAAAAAAAATGTGTTCAATTAGAGTTTAAATTTACTCATACAAAATTTGAAATTTGCTTTCTAATTGTAATTATCTTAGTTATTATTCGTATTGTGAAAATTATAATATAGATGAAATACAATTAAGAATAAATCAATGTAATTATGTAAATTCTCTCTATAAGTTTATTTGAATATGTACATAATTAGAGATTATATTAACCATACAAAATTTTAATTTTAATTGTAATTTTGTATTCTATAAAAATAATAAATACTTGACCAATGGAAGCTCAAAAATATTATTATATTAAACAATTTAAAATATTTTTATTTTTCTATTTTTTATTTATATTTATAATAACATAATTTTTTCCTCGTGCATCGGGCAGGTGATAATTATTAAATAACAAAAACTTTATATATGAATAAACCTCATATAGGGTATATTTTTATAACATATTTTCCGTGCATCGCACGAGACAAATACTAGTTTAATTAACAAGAATTTCAAACATTTTTTTAATTAAGTCAAATGAGAGACGAAAATAAAAGTGTTAAAAAAAAGAGACGAAAATAAAATTTGAGATATCTAACTTTTTAAAAATATAATTAATTATGCTTTCAAAAATATATATAATTAATTATCTGAACAAGTCAAATGTATACAATTAAATAAAAAAGACATGTACTCTACTATAGATAAAAAAAAAATTTGATGCAATGATATTGAAATTTTATTTCTTATTGGAGCCTTAATGGAGGCATTATTGGCTCTTTGTGCTTTGAGAAAGTAGTTATTAATAGATACTACATTGTAATAGAGTCAGTAACATTTAAAAAAATAAAAAAGACAGGTACTCTACTACTCAGTTAAAAATTTGATGCAATGATATTAAAATATTATTTCTTATTTATGTTTTAAAATAAAAACAAATATAAAAATAGAAGAACGCATTAGGAATAAAGTTCAAACAGGTCATCGAACTGCACACGATAATACAATTAAGTCACTGAACTTAAAAACCTACCATTAGTTTTGGCATGGAGAAAATTGGCATGTCAGGTTGATTAGGGCCATCAGAGTTTTGGCAGAAGTAGATGACCATATTACCCTTATTATTAAACAAAAGTAAGTCAATTAACATTTTCCAGTGACCCGGAGTGACAAAAATTAGATAGTCAAAAGTACTAATTAACAAACAAGACCCCAACTGTAGTCGATTATATGACCAAAACTGAAATTTTCTCAAATAATAACATACTTAATTATGTCTAAATGCCATTACATACTTCAGCCTACCATGCATCAAAGTATGAGAGAATCAACAAGAAGAATTTCTCCTTGAATCACAATCGATATGATTAATCAATCTTGATATATATATGGCGCTTACCTAGCTACAACTTCTGAAACTGTTATTTCATTAGTGGACAAGGACAACCTTTCATCTTTTTCTTGGGTTTCTGAGTGCTGGGCACCTTCCTCTGAAATGAAAAATGCAGGTTGTTTAGGCAAAGGTAGCTCTGCACTTTCATTTGCAAGCATGGAGACCACAGTTGACATTGAAGGCCTATATTTTGCGTCGTCTTGCACACACAACAATCCCACATGGATACACCTCATTACTTCTGCTTCTGGGCAAGATCCACTCAGACTCAGTGCAGGATCCATTAGCTCTACACCTCTCCCTTCTCTCCACAGCTCCCATGCCTGCAAAAATATATATTGTCATCAAACAAATATATTTTGTTGATGCTCTGTATGTAATGTTGATGATCTTACCAAACCAATGAGATTCAGTGGGTGTTCCAAACGATACGAGCTGTTGTTTTTCTTGCCGCTCACAATCTCTAGAACTAGAACACCAAAACTGAATACATCTATCTTGGTTGAAACAATTCCCCTCAAGGCATACTCCGGAGACATGTATCCACTGAAGTACGTGACAACCAAACAATGGTGTTAGAATTTCAAAACCATAACTACTAACAATCAAACTATTATTAGTTACTTACTAGGTTCCAACAATTCTGTTGGTGTTTGCTTCAGTTTCCTGCCTCCCGAAGATTCTAGCCATGCCAAAATCAGATATTTTTGGATTCATGTTTTCGTCCAGTAAGATGTTACTGCTTTTTAGATCTCTATGGATGATTGTCAACCTCGAATATTTGTGGAGATAAAGTAACCCCTGAGCAACCCCTTCTATAATGTTCAATCTGTTCCCCCATCTTAGCAGCTCCTTCCTATTAGGGTCTATTTGTTCATACCAAATTCATACAAACATATGAATCATATAATATATGAATAAGTAAATAAGTAGTGAATGATAACTTGTACATACTTACCAAATAAAATAGAATCTAAACTTTTATTAGGCATATACTCGTAAATTAAAATTTTCTCATCTTCTTCAATGCAGCAACCCAAAAGTCTAACAAGATTAGTATGCTGGAGTCTCGCAATCAATAGAATTTCATTCTTGAACTCCACAAGACCTTGTCCTGAGCTTTTTGAGAGTCTCTTAATAGCCACTTCTTGCGTATGAGGTAATGTTCCCTAAAATTTCAATACAATAAACATATTATTTAGTGGATGGTAAAACTTTTTTAAATAAAAGATCTTCTAAACTAATTACCTTGTAAACTGGTCCAAAACCACCCATTCCGAACATACTTGCATTAGAGAAGTTGTTTGTGGCCATAACAATGCTCTTAAAGCTGAATACCTGCAGTTCATGACTAATTTTTTTGTCTATATTGTTCTTGTTCACTCTTGACGGTGTCACAACATCTCTTAGTTCATCTAGTAACAGACTGGCTTTGCCTGATTGTTTATCATTGAAATAAAAAGCCATATATTAGAGGGATTAATGATCATCTAAACATGCATGATTCCCAAATGATGTGATATTTTTGTAATTAAAATTGTACATTTGGAGATGTTTGACTATGCATTTGAAAAATAATTAACAGTGAATTTAGAAAAAAAAAATTAAATACAAAATCAGGCATTACAAGATCCAGAATCATAATTATTGGAGTAATCATAGAAAATAAAAAATGTCGCATCATTTATAAAAAAATATTTGTCAGTGCATATGAAGAGAAGTTTCTAGGTATATGTGCAGGTAAAATCACTTACAAGTGCACCTACTTTCACCTACAAGTACATGTAATTTTACCTTGTTAACATTTATTGATCTGAGTTCGTTCTGTTTGCCATCGTTTTTGTTCTTGCGGGGAGTTCAGCCGGTAGTTAGTACCCTTGAAAACCACCCGCAAACATTCATGCAGTAGGTGCAACTACTTATAACTATCGATGCAACTACGTACTTATAACTATAGGTGCACTTAGTATTGATGCTCAGTGTAAATTTTACATGCACCTATAATACATTTTACATGCACTTGTAATACATTTTACTTGCACTTCGATGTTCAATTATTTACGAAAATGTCACCCCATTTTTTTTAAATAATCAGTGTTTCTCATCCATTAGATATGGACACGTGAACTGATAGCAGGCATTACCATATTCGCTACGGGAAGATCCATTCGCATGGGAGTGCAACTATATATATATATATATATATATATATATATATATATATATATATACAAAACCTCACCTTTTGTAGTCTTTTTCCATCGAAAATAGCAAATGGAGCATACTATTAGGAACATCACTGAAGCAAGACCTACAACCAACCATATCCACCACTTCCTCGAGCTTGCTGCAGTCGAAACAAGGGATCCTGCATGCATATCTAATTAACTTCATATCAGATAACCGTTCCTATTATAAGTTTGCAAGTATCAATATAATTTCCTTTTTTGGCAAAAAAACTTGTGTGAAATCGTTTCACGAATCTCAATCTATGAGACGGGTCGGATCTTTGGTTAATGATGTCAAACATCCAACTCATTAATCAAAGATCTGACCCGTCTCATAGATTGAGACCCGTGAGACAGTCTCACATAAGTATTACCCTTATGATTTTGATTAATGAGGGAGATATTATGTCATTTTTTAAATTAATAAAGATAAAGGATGTTTGGCAAACATAGCTCAAAAGGTAGTTGAAAGCTGAAAAATTATAAGACAAAGCTGAAAACTTAAGAGCGATTAAGCTAACTGATTATGCTTAAAAGTGTTTGGTAAAATTAACTTTTAGATAAACTACTAAATGTAAAAAGATTAAAATGACATCTTCATAAAATTGAAATAGTTTTAAATTTAAATAAGTTTGTTTACATATTAGAATTTAACATATTGAAATGAAACTATTAGCATAATCATGATCTAGCATTTTAAAATTCAACACAATAAGCTTTAAATATTCAAGCATAATGGATATATATATATATATATATATATATATATATATATATATATATATTTATAGGATCAGGTGCGCACAAACTTCCGGTGCGAAAATACCGTGAGATAGAATTTGCGCTATGATTAATGACTCTCTTAAATCAATTGTATACGAAATATGCATTTGAAAGCTCAAAATTATGCACTTGAAGGTAGAAAAATGTGCACTTGAAGGCAACAAATTTGCACTCGAAGAAAAAATAGATGTGCAATTGATGTAATTTATGGTACCAAAAATGGAGGTTATTCAACTTAAGTGTTATTAAACTAATTACCCATACAAATCGTTTGTAAATCTCATAAATTTTATTAGAAATTTAGTTATTTGTTATTGAAAATAATGCACAAGATATAACAAATATGGCCCAGAATTGTGCACTTGAAGGCAAAGAAACATGCACTTGAAGGCATAAAAATGTGCACTTGAAGGTAAAAAATATGCACTGAAGGAAAAAATGGTTCACTTGAATGTTGAGTATTTTTTTTTTTACACAATAGTAAGACACACATACACTTGTAGGCATTAAATTGAGCACTTGAGGACATAAAGAGGATCACTAGAAGGCAACGGAGATTTAAAAAAAAAAAAAAAAAAAAAAAAAAAAAAAAAAAAAAAAACACTAAAAGGGAAAATTCGAAGGAAATTAATTGTGCACTCTTAGAAAGAAAAACATGCATTTGAAGGCTACAAAACGTGAACTTGAATGCTAAAAACATGAACTAGAAGGAAAAAAATGTTCAATGGAAAGCTAAGTAATTGTTTTATTTTGTTAATACAATAGTAAGACACATATGCACTTGTAGGCATGAAATTGAGCACTTGAGAGCATAGGGAGGATCACTAGAAGACAATAGAAAAAAGAATACTAAAAGGAAAAATTAGAACAAAATCAATTATGCACTCTTAGAAAAGAAAACATGCACTTGAAGGCTAAAAAACATGCACTTTTAGGCCAAATGTTTGCACTCAAAGGCACAAAGATGTGCAATCAAATGAGAAACTAAGTACTAAACGAAACAGATGCACTCAAAGAAAATAAATATGCACTTGAAGAAGTAAAAATGTACACTCAAAGAAGAAAATTTTGCACTCGAATACAAAAGACAATTTGGCCTACTTACTCAAATTACAAATATGCCACCCGCGCGCAGTGGCAGAGCCACAATTTGTACCCCCGCCTCCCCTCTCACCCCTTCTCGTTTTATAATATATATGTACATGTATAAATCACTAAAGATACAGCGACTCAGTTGGTTGAACTTTGAATATGACATGAAATTCCATGGGTTTGAATCCCACTTATAAAATTTTTGTATATTTTAGCTTTTTATCTTTATTTTAACTCTTCTCACCCTTCAATAAATTAAATGTATTTTTTTTAATTCTATTTTTATGTGTGTATATTTTAGCTTCTTTTTCTTTATTTTAACTCTTCTCACCCTTCAATAAATTAAATATTTTTTTAAGTCTAGTTTTTTTTTGTGAATCATTTAATTAATGTAGTCAACAAGCAAGTTTATACTATACTTCATCATATTCAAATTAATTTAGAAAAATAATTAAAAGAAAATTAAAATTAAAGTATTTATGAATATAATGTTTTTTCTATTCAAACTATTTTATCTAATCGATTATGATTTATATTTTTTCATAAATATTTTTATAACATTTCAAAGTGTCTTAAAATTTCACCCTAACCAAGTATAGTTTTGGCTTCGCCCTTAATTATCTTGTAGTCTATCATAAATATTGTATTATAATTTATAATGTATTTGAATCATATTATAGGTGTTTGATATTTTGTCATTGACAATTCTAAAATCATTTTAAGTACGGCCCCAATCACATAATTTTCTAAGTCCGCCACTGCCCGCGCGTATAATTTTGTAATTAATATTGAATCTCCGCTGTTGATTTTGGAATGCATATACGGTTGGATTTTGTGCGCATTTTTTACCAATGTAAGCTTTTTTATTTGATCCATTATATATATATATATATATATATATATATATATATATATATATGACAGGGATCAGGTGCGAGGAGAGGTTCCTGTGCGATTGTGCGAAGGAACGCACCTTAAGCATTAAACTAACGCACTTTAAGTACACAACACACGTACATTAAGTACAGAAACAAAACACCTTAAGAACACTAATCTCACGCACATTAAGCACAAAACTCATGCACCTTAAGCACAAAACTCACGCACCTTAAACACAAAACTCAACAACTACTCATATTAAGTACACACTCACGCACCTTAAGCACAAGACTCACGCACCTTAAGTACAAAACTCACGGACATTAATCACTGTACGGGAGATACTCAACCGCACTAGAACTTAATTATATATATATATATATATGAAAAAGTTCAAATGCGGCGATGTCCTTAGGTGCGGCAGAATTTCAGAATACACCAACAGTGTTAACAACATGCACCAACAATGTAAGGGAAACACACCACAATGAAATGCAAAAAAAAAAAAAAAAAACACCAAAAAATACACAACAGACCCAAAAAAAAATACACCATATAACTCACCACGTGTATTTCTGGACACTGAATGGTGTTTTTACTCACACTTAATGGTGTGTTTTTGGTGTTACGTACCTAATTTGTATGTGTTTTTGTGGTACATTTTCCTAACGTTGATGGTGTATATTTGTTGACTATTGGTGACGCTGCACTGTTGCACCTAAGGATATCGCCGCACTTGAACCTTACTATATATATATATATATATATATCCACTATGCTTGAATATTATATATCCACTATGCTCGAATATTTAAAGCTTACTGTGCTGAATTTTTTGTATGAAAATGAATCCATTAGATTTGATTGTTTTTCTTTGGTATGTTACTGTGCTTGGAATTGTGATGCGTGTAGAGTCGAAATTTTTAGGTTATATATATATATATATATATATATATATATATATATATATATTCAAATAAAAAATTACATAATGCACCCGGGTTGGACTTCCATTTGGAAGGTAGTGAGTTTGAGCCTCAGTGAAAGCGTTATTGGCTTTTTGTGTTTCAGTAGGTTGAGAAAGTATATGAACAGATACTACATTGTAATAGAGTCAGTAGCATTCAAAAAAAATCAAATTTAAAAAAAAATTGAAAAGAAAAAGAAAAATCATACGAGAGATATGAATACTTGTTCGAATGAAGAATGAATAAAAATATAGGAGAAGAGAAAATACCAAAAGGGTTTTAATTGTAAAGGGGATAAATGATATCATTTATTTAAAATAATAAGGATAAAAATGAATATATATTTTTTATTAATGGGTTGGATTTTTGATCTCATTAATCAAAGATCCGACTCGTCTCACAGATTGAGGGCAAATTATACCGTGCACCAGGGCGCACAGTGCATTGTGCGCCCTGGCACAAAACGACATCGTTTTGATCTTTTCACGTGTTTGCCATTAAAAAAAAAAAAAAAATTATACCTGAAAACACATAATCTTTTTTAAAAAGACAAAAAACCTTGTTTCGAATGTACAGATTGAATTTTATACCTGAAAATACATAATTTTATAACAAAATACAAAAAGATGTCGTTTTGGGAGGCGCGGGGCACACATTGCTATGCGCGCCTTAGTGCATAGTATAACGATTGCGGATTGAGACCTATGAGAGTCTCACACAAATATTTGCCAAATTATAATATCTTTTTTTTTTTTTTGAAATGTTACTGGCCCTATTACATTGTAGTATCTGTTCATATACTTTCTCAACCTACTGAAACACAAAGAACCAATAACGCCTCCACCGAAGCTTGAACTCATAATAACCTTCCAAATGGAAGTCCAACCCGGGTACCATTAGACCACATAGTCCTGGTCCAAATTATAATATCTTAATTTATTCTTTTTGTCTTTTTACATTTATCAACTAATCAACTAAGTAAACAATTAATTTTATCAAATACTTTAATTTCAATTAGTTAATTTATTACTTATTAGCTACTACCTTTTTAATTTTGCCTTGCCAAACTGATCTTAGAAGGGAATGGATGGAGATGTCGGAAGAAATAAAATACGTGCGAGTAACATATACGTACCTGTTCCCGGAATATACAGTAACCCACTCCCGGCACTGAAATTCATTCCGGGATTGTATCTCCGCACCAAATCTTCACTCACGTTAGTCGCTTTTGCCACCGTCTGCAAGCTCTCTCCCGGCCTCAGGGGATACGTAATGAACAAATCGTAGCCATGGGGCAAATCTTTATTCCCGCACGAGCAGTTGACCATCACGTTCAACACCATCCCTACATCCACGGAAAATATATTCTTGATAGGGTTAAACTTCAGCAGCCATTGAAAAGTGGTTAAGTTGGAATAGTAGAACGCCGAAATGAGATAGAGGGTGTCCCGTTCCCGAATGGTGTACGGAAACATGCGCCCCAATTCGCCGTTATTAATCGACAGGCAATCACATGAGAATGGGACGTTGATCCTGGTTCCTGCAAGGACGGAATCCCCGTTTGGAAAAATTGCAGTTGGGTTGTAGGCAATGATTTTCTCTGCAGGAATGGAGAACATCTTGGAGATGAAGCTCAGATTCATGCCCGGTCCGGCGTAGTATGAGGCTAGAGCCAAGTCACATCCCCCACTGCAACTGGACTCAGCTGGTGATAATAAGCTGAGAAGAGATAAGATTATGGGGAGGAGATGAGAGTTGAGGTTGTTCCTGGTTTGGATTGATGAAGAAAGACCCACATGTTGAGCAAAACCCATGAGAGGGCAGGAGAATGGAGCTCTGATCTTTTGGATTATTGAAGAAGATCAGGGTCTGAGTGATGAAGAAATGTTAGGTTTGGAAAGACTTGTCAAACAAATAATAGTGGAAAATGGATGGATAAGCCAAACAGAGCAAAGAATGTATGCACATGGACCATGGAACTATGCAAGTGTACGCTTGAAAAATCTACCTAGTAGCACGGAGAAATGTAAACGCGTGAATTGAATTAGTGAGGTCCCGACAGAGTATTGGTAACTCAGCTTCTCAGCTTGTTCCACACTGGCACACTGCAGTAGTCATGTCTGGTTATTCTTTTCAAATTTCACTCATATGACCAACTGAATTGTCTATACAGACATTTTATTGGACAATGATCATTATACCATATATCATAGTTATTTTGTAAGGTAAATCACTTATATGGGGTATAATGTTTATTTTTAATATACCAAAGAATAATTTTAATGCATTATTAAAGATTCATTAGTTGATATACTATCTAAAAATGAACTTTCAATAAATTAAAAATAAATATTTAGCATATTAAAAATGAACATTTATTTATGATCCACAATATATTTTGTCTTTATCGGAAAGATTGCAATTTTAGGATGTATATATTGGTGATATTGGAATTACCCCAACATATACCCTCAAACATACCAAAGCCATCTATGATATATATCCTATTTTTCATGCCATGTTTAATATTGAATGATAACTCTAGTTCATTCATGCAATGTACATAAGCTAAGGGTCTACTGGAATATTACATTAACAATTTACTTAATAATTGCTTCAGTCAACAGTCAACAGTCGTTAATTTGGAATAATAGTTCGTCTTGGGAATTGACAGACCAACTAGTTTGCAGAAGTCTAGAATGGACCATATGTAGAACTATACAAGACGAGAGTTTCAACAACAAAAATTTGCCCTTGAATCACAATCCCCAAAAAAAAAAAAAAAAAAAAAAAAAAAAATCTTGATGAATTGATTAACCTATATATGGTGCTTATCTAGCTACCATTTCTGAAACTGTTATTTCATTAGTGGATAACCTTTCATCTTTTTCTTGGTTTTCTGAGTGCTGGGCACCTTCCTCTGCAATGAAAAATGCAGGTTGTTTTGGCAGAGGTATCTGCGCATTTTCATTTGCAAGCATGGAGACCACACTTGACATTGAAGGCCTATATTTTGCGTCATCTTGCACACATAACAATCCCACTTGAATACACCTCATTACTTCTCCTTCTGGGCAGGATCCACTCAGTGCAGGATCCATTAGCTCTATACCTCTCCCTTCTCTCCACAGCTCCCATGCCTGCAAAGATATATATTGTCATAAAACAAATATATTTTGCTAATGCTCTGTATGTAATGTTGATGATCTTACCAAACCAATGAGATTCAGTGGGTGTTCCAAGCGATACGAGCTGTTGTTTTTCTTGCCGCTCAAAATCTCTTGGAGTAAAACCCCGAAACTGAATACATCTGTCTTGGTTGAAACAATTCCCCTCAGCGCATACTCTGGAGACATGTATCCACTAAAGTGACAACATAACCTGGCCAAACAATAATGTTGTTAGCATGCATGCATGTATCCACTTCTGGGCATGCATTTAACATAGTATATGACATAGTTACTTACTAGGTTCCAACAATTCTGTTGGTGTTTGCTAGCTTCAATATCCTGCCTCCCAAAGATTCTAGCCATGCCGAAATCAGATATTTTTGGGTTCATGTTTTCGTCGAGTAAGATGTTGCCGCTTTTTAGATCTCTATGGATGATCGTCAACCTCGAATATTTGTGGAGATAGAGTAATCCCTGAGCAATTCCTTCTACAATGTTCAATCGGTTCCCCCATCTTAGCAGCTCCTTCCTGTCAGGGTCTGTTCATACAACTATGAATACAACAGATAGTATATAATTATATAAATCACTTGCAATTACCAATGTGTATAGTATACTTACCAAATAAAAAGGAATCTAAGCTTTTATTGGGCATATACTCGTAAATTAAAATTTTCTCATCTCCTTCGATGCAGCAACCCAAAAGCCTAACAAGATTAGTGTGTTGGAGTCTGGCAATCAATAAAATTTCATTCTTGAACTCCAAAAGCCCTTGGCCTGAGCTTTTTGAGAGTCTCTTAATAGCTACTTCTTGTCCATCAGGTAATGTTCCCTGTATGATAAGATTAATTAGTCACTGCCAAAACTTTTTAAAACGAAAGATCTTGTGAAGCTCGCTTACCTTGTAAACAGGTCCAAAACCACCCTTTCCGAGCATACTTGCATTAGAGAAATTGTTTGTGGCGATAGAAATGCTCTTAAAACTGAATACCTGCAGTTCATGACTAATTTTTTTGTCTATATTGCTCTAGTTCACTCTTGAGAGTGTGACAACACCTCTTAGGGTGTGTTTGGAAACCTGAAAAATGAGTTCTGGAAATCATTTTCCAAGTTTCCAGTGTTTGGATGTGCCTGGAAAATCAAGTCAACGGAAATCATTTTCCGTTGACTTTGGAAAATAGGCTTGTTTTGGAGGAAAATGACTTCCCCTTTTTTTGGGGGGAAGTCATTTTCCAACTTTTACACCAACATCACACCACCACCAACATCATCAACACCATACCACCATCACCACCACTATTGCCGCCGCCACCACCAGTATACCCCCGCCACCATCACACCACCATCACAACCACCACCAACACCGCAACCACTACCACCACCACCACCACCATACCACCGCCACCATCGCCGCCGCCGCCACCACCACATACCACCGCCACCACACCACCACCACACCACCACCTTCACACCACCACCGCCGCCACCACCACCACCATACACCGCAACCACCGTCGCCGCCACCACCACCGCAACCACGCGACCACTGCCACCACCGTCATACTACCACCACCATCACACCAACACCACTACCGCCGTCGCCGCCACCACCAGCATACTACCGCAACCACCGTCGCCGCTGCCACCACCATACCACCGCAACCACCGCCACCACCATCACACCGCCGCCGCCGCCGCCGCCGCCACGACCATACCACTGCAACCACCACCGTCGCCACCACCACCATACCACCGCCACCACACCACCACCGTCATACCACCACCAATTATTATTATTATTATTATTATTATTATTATTATTATTATTATTATTATTATTATTATTATATAACGAATAAAACCACTACCACTACACCACCACCACCACCATAATATTTTTGATATATTATTAATTTTTTTTTTGAAAAACTTAGCTATTTTTTATTATATTTAAAATTAATATTATATTATTATATATTATTATACATGTTGTAATATTCTAAATAAAATAATTAAAATGTTTAATTATACAATTCTACTCATTTTCCAGAAAATGAACCAAACACAGAAAAACAGTTTTCCATAATGCAACCAAACACTGGAAAGGAAAATGTTTTCCGGAAAATGACTCATTTTCCAGAAAACATTTTCCAGAAGTCATTTTCCTGCTTTCCAAACGGACCCTTAGTTCATCTAGCAGCAGACTGGCTTTTGATTTGGCTTCTTCACCTGCAGATTATTAATCATGAAAAGCAAGATATTAGAGGGATATATATCATCAAAACATATTTGTTATTTCCTTCCCAAATCCAAGTATTACACAAAACCTCACCTTTTATATTCTTTTTCCATTGAAAATACCAAATGGAGCATAGTATTAAAAATACCACAGAAGTAAGAACAACTACCAACCATATCCACCATTTCCTTTTCCTGGAGCTGGCTGCAGTAGAAACTAAACAAGGATCCAGTGTTACTTGAAATCAGAGAAGCTGCCTATTAGAGAGAATTGAAAGGAGAACTTAATGCCCTTTGATGTACAATAAGGTAAAACCATTCACTGCACATACTAGAGAGTTCTTTAATTCTCAAAAGGTGACAAAAGTGAAATTTGTCACAAGAGACCAATGGTCGAGTCTCACTAGAAGCAGTGTTGTCAGCAATCTCTCAAATGAGGAGAGCTCTTTGTGCGCAGTGAACAAAAGTCTAGCATATGTTAATCAATTAAGTCATTATAATTAGGGGTGATAGCAAACAGAATTTTTGATAAACTACTCATGTTCGTGTTCGGTAACCATTCGTTTATGGTCGTTTATTAAGGTAAACAAACATAAATGAATAAATTTTAGAACTCGATTAAAAAACGAACAGAGTTTGAAAATTTGTAGGCTCGTTTGCTAAGAGCTCGTGAATAAGCTCATTTGTATTCGTTTAATAATGTTCACAAACAAACTCGTTTAGTGTCCAATCCATTTAATAATATTTACGAACATGTTCATGAACAAGTAGTTAAACATTATTTCTTATCCACGAATAAATTGTGATCATGAACATTAACATGTATTTAATTGGTTTGGTTATTAAGCATTCATGAACGTGTTCACGAACCTGAATGAACATGTTTGCGAATTTATTCGCAAACGTTAACGAGCATGCTCGTGAACGTGTTTGTTAATGTTAATGAACATGTACAACACTAATGAACGCTTAACAAATGAACACGAACAAGATTTTCAAAAACATTAACAAAAGAACATGAACCATAAATGAATAAATTTTAGAACTCGATTAAAAAACGAACAGAGTTTGAAAATTTGTAGGCTCGTTTGCTAAGAGCTCGTGAATAAGCTCATTTGTATTCGTTTAATAATGTTCACAAACAAACTCGTTTAGTGTCCAATCCATTTAATAATATTTACGAACATGTTCATGAACAAGTAGTCAAACATTATTTCTTATCCACGAATAAATTGTGATCATGAACATTAACATGTATTTAATTGGTTTGGTTATTAAGCATTCATGAACGTGTTCACGAACCTGAATGAACATGTTTGCGAATTTATTCGCAAACGTTAACGAGCATGCTCGTGAACGTGTTTGTTAATGTTAATGAACATGTACAACACTAATGAACGCTTAACAAATGAACACGAACAAGATTTTCAAAAACATTAACAAAAGAACATGAACCATAAATCTTAACAAACAAACACGAAGAACCTCGGTTTGTTTATGTTTAATTCATTAACAATCCTAATTATAATTTACCCC